CCTCACAGTCCCGCCCTCTCCTGCTCAGTCCCCGCCCCTCGCCTACACAGTCTCCGCTCCTCGCCTTCACAGTCCCCGCCCCTCCCCTGCGCAGGCCCGCCCCCTATCGCTCACGCCCCTCCCCATGCACGCCCCGGACTCTGCCCTCTGCTGCGCCCCCGCCGGGATCCGCCCCTCTCCCTTCCAGCCCCGGGCTCCGCACGCAAGCCCCGCCCCCGCCATTCTCGTAGGCTCCAAGGCCCGCGACACTCCTCCGCCTATTGCCCCGCCCACCCCGCGCCCCGCGGCCTCCGAGTCCTGCCCCGCCGTATCAGGAGCCCACCCTTTTCCTCGCCAGCCTATTGGAGAGAGCGTCACCGTGCACGCTGACCAATGAGAGTCGCGGCCGATGCGTCACGCCCCCGCGCCGTGCGTCTGGGTAAGTAAAGCTTCGACAGGGACCTGGTACGGGTCACTAGCCATGTGGCGCTGCGGCCGAAGGGTTCCTTGCTTCCTGAGGCGGCTGAGTGGCGGGTGAGACACGGGCAGGAGCGAGAGAAGTCGGAGAGGAAGGAGGCGAGAGCGAAAGGCGGCAGGGGCGGTCCCGGCGTGGGGGAGAACCCGGGGCCTGCAGGGTCTTGTCCCGGCCCGGCGGTGCCGCACCACAGCTCCCTGTTCTGGGGCTCCCGAACCCCGACGCCCCTCGCCCGGGGAGCCGGGGGGGCCGGAACCCGACGCCCCTCGCCGGGGGAGCCTTGCAGAGCCTGGGTGAGGGACGGTGCAGTGGGTCCCCCTCACATCGCATCCGCCCGCCAAAGGAAAGGAGTTCCGGGCCAGTTGTCAGGGTTGGGAGCCGCGCCAGGAAAGCCTGCGGGTAAAGCGGGTCGAGGCCCAAGGAGCCCCCGTGCCCCTGGGACCTCAGGCGATCCCAGAGTGGGTGGCCTTGTGTGCGGATTGTCAGGGCTTTTGAAGTGAAAATGGTCATTGATGTGGATTTTAATACGTGTAATTAAGGTAATCGCCAGCTTGTGGTTCTCATTAACATGATTGCTCCCTTGTCTTCTACTTGTGAGCAGGGAGCCCTCAAGACACCCGAGGCTTCCACACGAAGTGCTTTTAAACTGCAGTGTTCTTAATAAAATTGGAGCTTCCAGAAATTGAAGTTTTTTAAAATGACTAGATTTATGAAAAAAAGATACAATCCAGCCTTGAATGATCACGCTCTATGAGTTTGTAGATAAGTTTTGTTTCATGCTAATTCACAAAACCTTGTTTATGTTATGGGGCAGTTTAGCTGTTAGCCCATATGAAAAAGCCCGGGGTGTTCGTTTTTGGGTTCCCAGGTGGTGTGTTTGAATTCGGCAGCAGGGGCATTATTCATGTGTGTGGTTGGGTACCAGGAAGTATATGGGGGAAAGCCCATGTTGCCTCAGGCTTTTTCTGCATTTTCAGCATGAGCATTTATTTTGGGGGGTTGTGTTCTTGATGGTAAAAAACATCTTAAAATCCTCGATTCTATACTTCTAAAATTAGCTAAGTCAGTAAGGAAAGTGTTGGCTGATGATCGCACATCTTCATAATGTTACCTGATAACGACTGAATCAGTGTTTTTTTTTCTGTTTCTGTATGTATCTTCTTCAAAAGAAATATTTTTTGTGAGCTATAATAATGTAGAAAATTCTTTAAAGCATATAATACAGTTGAGAGGGAAAATATTTAAAAATAGTGTCACCGTTACCCAGATTAAGGTTACCCCTAAATGATTGGCCCTCTCTCCCTCTTAGATATGATCTCTCTCCTGGTTTATTTCCTTGCTTTATAGATCTATGTATATATGTAAGAGTAAGCTCCAGAGATACAGCAGCTGCAGGAGTCAATGGATCAACAGTTTCTTTTCCCCCATATCCCCACCCACCTCTCTGGTAACAGTTTGTTCTCCGCAGTTAAGAGTCTGTTTCTTGATTCGCCTCTCTTTTTTCCCCTTTGCTCGTTTGTTTCTTATTACACATATGAGTGACATCATATGGCCTTTGTCTTTCTCTGACTCATTTCACTTAGCATAATACTGCCTAGCTCCATCCGTGTTGTTGGTTTTTCTTTATATTTTTACCATCTACATGTATTCGTACAACACAGTAGGATGATACTGTGTCTAGCCTTTGTATTTTTTTTTTTTTTGGTTTAGAATTATGTGACCCACATTTTTGTTAGTGTGGTTGTAGTCCATCCATATTCATGGCTAAGCTTATTTCATGTATTGAATAGTCCCCAATTTATCCATTCTGATGATGGATGTCCTGGTTGGTGGAGTTTGGAACTCTTAGGAATGGTGCCAACATAAAGGGTGTGTGCTGGTACATGATGAGTACACGTTCTCCAGGACACACATACGGAGGTGAATAGTTGCTAATTTAAATGATGCCAAATGTTTTTCGGGAATTGTTACTATTTGCACACCTAGTTGCAGTTTAGGCAGTCCTGACAATGATAGATTTCTTACTTTTTACCAGTTTCATAGATGCGTAATGGGAGTTATTGCGATACTGTGTACTGAGATGGAAAAAGTCACTTTAACATGAGAGTTGTTTTTTATACAGGTAAGGAAAATTGGTTACATAATTATAGTTATTCATGAGCATTTACATATAAAAGGCTTGGAACATGCAATTATTAGTTGATATGAAGCTTTAGCTGAGTAGAGATAAAGATAATAAAATTGAAAGAACTAAAGATTCCAGAAATCAGTTTTCTGGAATCTGTTTGTAAGATGTAAGGTTTAATTTTTATTTGAAATGTCTTGATGACGTGAAAATATTTTCGTGATGTTGCTGAATTACGGTAGCCGCACAGTTGTCCTGCAGGAGCAGCTAACCTTGGTCCCTTTCCTCCCGTGGATCAGTGCCGGCCCCCGAGCGTGGAGGAGGACGGGCACCAGCGCTTGTGAGAGAGCTCGGCAGCACGAGGTGGGAGAGCGGATCCACGGGTTCACCGTAAGCCAGGTGTGCACGGCCCAGCTTGTTGCACAGCCCAGACCCCAGGGGGAGCTGGCATCTCTGTCCCTGCCCCTGGTTCCTCCGTGTTTCACAGTGGGGTCTACTGAGTGGAATTTGCAAGTGAAAGGATTTCCTGATTCTTAAATAAGGGATCCCCAGTCCCTTCCCTCAACCCAGCCCCTTGAAGCCTAATGTCTCTAGATTTGGAGTCACACACACACTGATGTTTGTGCATCCACACACGCGACTGTTCACTGTGCTCAGACTGCCCCACATCTGTGTGGGTCACGTTTTCCTAGCACGTGAGTTTGCTCCACCCACAAAAACTTGGTTTTTGAGCCATCTGAGTAAAGAGATTGTGGGCCTGTACGTTCACAGTGTTTTTTTCTTTTAACGCAGTAATTGAAAAATATGCATTTCACATCACTGACTGGCCCAGTTGGCTTCATGCTGTGGGTAACACTTGTACCAGACTCAAAAGGCAGGCAGCTCACAGTCCAGAAGGATACAAGTGCGGCTGCAGTACGAGGGGGAACGTGATGAGACCAAGAGGAAGACGGGAGGAGAGGGTGCTCTCCTGGAGGGGCATGGGGACAGGTTCACGGAGAACGGAGGGGTATGTAAGTGGAAGACGGAGGGCTGGATGTGCCCATGGTGGTAGTTCCAGGCAGGGTTCCGGGGGGCCAGTTAGCTTGAGGGAGGGGCTCACGACACTGGGTGAGAGCATGTGTGAGGTCCCTAAAGGCCATGCAGAGGAGCTTGGATGTAGAATAGTGACTGTTAAGGAGGACCTCAGAGTTCTGTTTCTGTATTTTTTAAGTGTTACAGAAACTTCTGATAAAACAATGATCCTTGTTTGAGGAGTAGTTCCCGTGAAAGAGGTTCGGAGGCAGACAGTTCACTGAACTGATTTTAAATACGTAGATCATCTCTTACAAAGTAAATTCTTAGATATAGATAATTTAATACTTGTAAACTAAGCCGGCATCACAGGCCTCTTTAAGTAATGTCGTTTGCGTGGAAGGCCCCCACAGCACGCTCGGGACACCTGAGTTCTAATCTCTGCCCTGCTGGTAGCTTGCTGTGTAAGCACAGACAGTTTACCTTCACAGCCTCTGAAAAGTGGTGATAAATGGTGTGGCTATCGTAGTGATGCGCTATTGTGATTGAAAGGGAGAGGCCCCTGGCATGGTTGGACCATATAACACTTTCTAAGGTGCCAACAACCACGGGAACTTTGGGAGGCTTACATGGCTAGGAGACTGCCGTCCTCGGGGTCAGGATGTGTTTGTTTTTATTGGAGGTGATTTGGACCCTCCCACTAGGAGCAGGTAACTGGTGATACCCCAGCGCACCCCTGGGAATTCCTCAGAACTGCATAAACCAGATGAGGCACAGTTCAGTCCCAGGCTATGGCCCACTTCAGCATTTACCTCCCAGCGGGGCCATTCTGAGCATTTCTGCCATGATGTGTATAAAAGGAAGCCAACTGCAGGCATCGTAGGCGAGAGCAGGACTCCTTCAGTGTAGCCTGGTGTGAGAGATGGGGTCTGCGTCCCTGTCTGACCATCCCTCTGAGCCTCAGCGTTTCCATCTGCAGATGGGGGTGAGGATCCCTTCCTCACAGGGTTCCCCGAGAACTATTCAGAAAAGTCTAGCAGATAGTAAGCATGCAAAAAGAAAAGGCGCCTAGGATGGTCAGGTACATAGGTCTTACTTGGCTCGTTTGTGAGATTCAGGGTTTGAACAAGGTGGTTTCTGATGAGCCTCCAGTCCCGACTGTTGCCTGATGACACAGGCCAGGTCCTGCAGTATAACCATACCTGTGCCGAACGCCTTCCCATCTGAGTTTACCTGTCCAGTATTTCTTGTTCATTCAGGTAACGGCCATCCCTGAACTGTCCCTGACCGCAGTGAAGCTCAGCCATGACAGCACAGGAGCAGAATACTTGCACTTGGCCAGAGAAGACACCAACAACTTGTTCAGGTGCGTGGGGGCATCGTGAGAGCATGTTCCACCGAGAATGTCTGCCACACGTTACATAGTTTAAAATCCTCGTTCACCCAGGTTTTATTTTTATTGACCGTATCCTGAAAACCGAAGGAAAAGGTGAAATGAGTTTATGTCCTCAGCTGCCTAGAGTAAAAGCTCAGAGTCTGAATTAGTGGTTTTCTAGGTTGTCGTTGGAGACCGTGTTGGTGAGCGGTTGGGTGGTCCGAGTGGTCATATGTGCAGTCATGGCCGTAGCCGTGCCCTCCGCCTGAGCCTTGGGCTTGCTTCACTTGTCTCGCGCAGCGTGCAGTTCCGCACCACGCCCATGGACAGCACCGGCGTCCCACACGTGCTGGAGCACACCGTCTTGTGCGGCTCTCGCAAATACCCGTGCAGAGATCCCTTCTTCAAGATGCTCAATCGCTCGCTGTCCACGTTCATGAACGCTTTCACAGGTGAGCAGGCATCCACGGCCGAACCATGCGGGGTCCCCTCCTTGCGGCGGGGGGTGAGGCTGGCAGCCTGTAGACCAGAGCACACACACCGTCCTCTGGTCTGCTGCAAATCTGCTGGAAGCGGAATCCTTTAGGAAAGCCACATTGTGGTCGCATTATAAAAACTGTAGTTTTAGGGAAAAGGCATATCTGACATTTTTCTGGAAAAGGTCAAAATATTATTCTTTTGGAGATGTTGCTATAAAATTTGAGCTCGGTGGCATATGTGAATATGGCAGTGGTGGTGTTTGAGTTGATTTCTAGGAACTCGGGCAGCACGTGGGCTTCTGCTGGGCGCAGAGAAGTGCCCAGGCCTCCAGGTAAGCGGTGCGCTGTGTCCGCATCCTGCGGGTCAGGCCCTCAGTGTAGACGTGTGAGGTCATGGCTGGCTGTGCCTCTTCCGCCCGCCCCCAGCCAGGCCTGCCCGGGACAGTAAGGGCTCAGGGTGGGGGGCTGGGGGTGGGGCTGGAAGTGGCACATTCCTGTGGGAATCTGTCGAATTTTTAAAATCTTTTCATTTATACCCAGCTAGCGACTATACTCTGTACCCATTTTCTACACAAAATCCCAAGGACTTCCAGAATCTCCTATCTGTGTATTTGGATGCAGCCTTTTTCCCATGCTTGCGGGAACTAGATTTCTGGTACGTAATGATTAATTAATTTAGACTTTAGTATTGGAATCATTATCATTGTGTAATTACTTACCGTTATTTAGGCAGGAAGGATGGCGACTAGAACATGAGAATCCGAAGGACCCCCAGACACCCTTGACCTTTAAAGGAGTCGTCTTTAATGAAATGAAGGGAGTATTTGTGAGTTTTTTTTTCCTTTTTAAAACTGTTCCAGTGATCTTTCTGTGTAAAATATCGGGATGTAAAAGGGTCTGGAAGACAGTGGACGTTCTCTTATATCATTTGATGCACTTCTCATGTGGGACTTGTTGGACTAGCCGGGGGACAGTGCAGTGAGCACCAGCCGTAGGACAATAGAGGACCACGCTCCCGATTTTCTGGGGCCCTTGTGGCAGCAAGCAGCTCTTGAGCTGTGGGGTGGGACCCCTGGTTTGTGGTCTGCAGGAGGTCTGTCAGATGAAAGCTGCATGACAGTGATAAGAACTTGTCTTTTTTTCTCATTCGGGAGTTTCCCCAAGCCTGCATTACATGTTTTGAAATAGTTTATAGGATACAGAAGCAGATAGAGTCTAGCTGTCTCTCATTAAGCCAGACATTAAGGAGATTTGCAAAATGTGCAAAACAGTGCTATTTTTCTCAGTGATATTTCTGCTTTGTTCTGAGAAAGTTTTCCAAAAAAATATTTGATAACATGTACTGATGGGTTAAGATAATGAGTGAATAAGTAACCTTTTAAAATGTCTCAGCTTTAATTTCTAACACAGAAAAATTATGTGTACACACACACTCTTGTGTAATCAGGAAACCCACATCATCAAAAGGTCTTTGGGGTCCTCATTGATTTTTAGGAGTATGAAGGATCTTGAGACTGGGCAGTTTGAGAACCTCTCCTCTGGGCCCATCCTCCCAGCCCCTCTGACTTTGGAGTCCTGCTCTGACAAATGGGGCTACCTGATTTGGGCCTCATTTCTTCCAGTACCTTCTGGAAACTCAAGTTACAGTCACAGCTCTTGCTCCAGAAGCCAGTGGGACCCCTTCCTGCAGCTCATGGGCAGGGACCCTTGTGATTCTTTCCTTGGTTCGCACGTCCCTCCCTTGGCCCTCAGCTGTGCCTTTGCTGGTGGCCCATGCACACTGCAGAGTGTTTTTTCTTTTCTTGCGAGACCCCTGATCTTTGGGTCCTGTGTGGAGATTGTGAATGAGTTGCATGCTTTGTTAGGATCTGCATGGACCGCCTTGTTTATCACTGCGACAGTTTGAATTGCTCCCAGAATGTGATTAATTTGCTGCATTGTAACATAACACTGGGTGTTATTTTTCACACACACATATATTTTTTTTAAATTTGAAGACAGACAACGAGAAGATATTCTCGCAGCACCTTCAGAACCGACTCCTGCCTGACCACACGTACTCGGTGATCTCCGGGGGCCATCCGTTGTGCATCCCAGACCTCACGTGGGAGCAGCTTAAACAGTTCCATGCTACCCATTACCACCCCAGTAATGCTAGGTAATTTCATTTTTATAGTTTAATTAATGGTGGGTTGATTAAGAGTAGACTCATTTGCATACACTAAATGACATGGCTTCTCTCACATTTGGCGAAGAATTGTTTGTGAAGAACTGTATAAATTTAGAGGATTCTTCACAATGGATTGCCTCTCTCTTTTGTGGATGCTCATTCTGAATGTCTACAGCAAGAATTTACGTGCCCAGCATGATGGTGACACCACCTCATGAAGGAGGAGCCGTATGCTGTCACGCTCCCTCCCTGTGCCTCAGCTTTCTGATGTTTAACACGGGAGTGCAGGCTACTGTCCCCTCCTGAGGCTGACCTGGGACCCGGAGGGCTTGCAGCCCCTGCCAGGGAAGTGCTCCCGAAATGGTGGTTGCCCTTCACTAAACCTGGGATACTTGCTTTGTGACCCAATTGCTTGTTTCAGATGTTAATAGTAGTAAAACACCAGTATGTGTATTTATAAATCAAACACTGATGGAAAATCATATTTTCAAGATTACTTTAAATGTAAAAGAATTTAAATTTTGGTTATGAAAACTTTCAAGCATCCAGAAAAATATAGAGCCTAGAATAATGAACTTTATACACATACCACATAATATTCTTTGTCAACATATTTTAAAGGAGATTACAGTCATCATGATGGTTTACCTCTAATATTTAAATTTATGACCCTGAAACATAAAGATATTTTGGGACATAATACTATATTCACATTTAACAAACACTTGCGTGAAAGCACCTACTACTTATTCCAAATCCAGATTTTCCGCTAGTACCCAAAATATATGTTTGAGCCAAATGAGGCCCATATATTCTGTGTAAAGCTCTGTTTTTCTCCCTGTAGACACAGGCCATCTGCTGGGTTGGTTTGCTGGCAACTTTGATTTATTTACTTATTTTTTTTATGCTCAAATTGTTTCAGCTGTGTCCCAGGGGAATTCCTTTAAGCTCGTCTTATGTCTTCTTAGTTTTCAGTAACTAGTTTCTGTGCCCCCCAAATCCAGGCTCCTTCTGCTCCAGATCTGTAGCTACTTCTTTCTCCAAGGAGTCCTCCAACCAAGTGGAGACAGGCATTTAGAGGGTCTCCCTGGACGCCAGGGATGCTACTTGTTATTGGAGTGCCACTCTAAACCATTGAGCGGACATTTTTAAAGGATCTTTAAGATATTAGCTCCCAAAGTCAGATGTGTTTATTTTATTGGGATATAATTGACATATAGCATTGTATTAGCCTTAGATGTACAACAAAATGATTTGGGTCATGTATATACCGTGAATTGATCACCACAATAAATCCAGGTAACATTATCACTGCACATAGTTAAAATGGTTTTTTCTTATGATGAGAACTGTTAAGATCTTTTCTCTTCGCAACTTTTAAATATAAGATACACTATTGTTAACTACAGTCAGCATGCTGTACATTATGTCCTCATGACTTACTCATCTTACAACTGGAACCTTGGACCCCTTCTACAGATTTCATCCACCCCCTGCCTTGGCAACCACCAATCTATTTTCTGTATCTATGAGTCTTAGCTCAGACAACAGCGTATTAAAAGAAAAAGAAATCAACTGTGTCATTGTACCCTTTTTCCCCTGGATGGATAAATGTGTTGTCTTAAAAACATGTAATCTGAAATTTGTAGCCTAAGATTGAATTTTGTGAAGTTCTTAATTTGTCATTGGTAGATGGATTACTATCTTACTGTAGCTAAGACCATCAAATATTTTAACATATCAGTTACTTTGTTTTTGAAACACCTTTATAGTACATTTAAAATAAAGAGCAACTTTTGGCAGATTTACACTTAATTAATCACTTTTGCATGATTTGTATTTTTTATAAAAAGGATCAAAGCCTCTATCTGGTCTTTGTAGTCAAAGTAAGTGAACAGAAGGACACCTGGGTGACTCAGTCAGTTAAGTGTCTGCCTCTGACTCAGGTCGTGGTCCCAAGGTCCTGGCATCGAGCCCAACGTTGGGCTCCCTGCTCAGCGAGGAATCTCCTTGAGGATTTCCTTTCCCTCTGCCCCCCCCCCCCCCCGGAGGGCACTCTCACTCTCAAATCTTAAAAAAAAGGGAACAGAATGTATTTCTATACAAACTTCATTTCAATATGGGAACAGTTTTATTATTAGGTGCTATGTATGTGCACCTTCTATTTTTTTTTTTTTTTTAAAGATTTTATTCACTTATTAGAGAGAGAGAGAACACTGGCAGGATGGGGAAAGGCAGAGTGAGAAGCAGACTCCCTGCTGAGCAGGGCACCTGATGTGGGGCTTGATCCCAGGACCCTGAGATGATGACCTGAGCCAAAGTCACATGCTTAACCAACTGAGCCACCTAGGTGCCCCAGCGTACCTTCCATTTTTAAGTTTTATTGTAATTCTACTGTAGTTAACATACAGTGTTATATTAGTTTCCGGTGTAAAGTATCTTCATTCAGCACTTCCATATATTATTCAGGGCTCATCAAGATTCCCCATCACCTATTTCCCCCGTTGTCCCCACCACGTTCCCTCTGGTAACCATCAGTGTGTTCTCTAGAGTTAAGATTGTTTTTCTCAGTTTGTCTCTTTTTTTTTTTCCCTTTGTTCATTTGTTTTCCTAAATTCCACATGAGTGAAATCATATGGTATTTGTCTTTCTCTGACTGACTTATTTCACTTAGCATAATACTCTCTAGCTTCATCCATGTCAGAGCAAATGGCAAGATTTCATTCTTTTTTATGGCTGAGTAATATTCCATTGTACATATATACCGTATCTTCTTTATTGAATCATCTGTAGTTGGACACTTGGGCTGTTTCTGTATCTAGGCTATTGTAAATAATGCTGCAATAAACACGGGTATGTACACAGTGGCTGCACCAGCTTGCATTCCCACCAACAGTGTAAGAAGGTTCCCCTTTCTCCACATCCTCGCCAACATCTGTTGTTTCTTGTGTTGTTGATTTTAGCCATTCTGACACGTGTGAGGTGGTATCTCATTGTGGTTTTGATTTGGATTTCCATGATGATCAGTGATGTTGAACATCTTTTCATGTGTCTGTTGGCCATCTGGATGTCTTCTTTGGAGAACTGTCTGTTCATGTCTTCTGCCTGTTTTTTAATTGGATTACTTGGGGTTCTTTGGTGTTGAGTTGTAGAAGTTCTTTATTTAGGATATTCACCCTTTATCAGAGATGTCATTTACAAATATCTTCTCCCATTCTTTTTCCGCATTGAGTATGATGTTAGCTGTGGGTTTTTCATATATGGCTTTTATTATGTTGAGGTGTCTTAGTTTTGTTGACTGTTTCCTTTACTGTGCAGATGTTTTTTATTTTGGTGTAGTCCCAGGAGTTTAATTTTCCTTTTATTTCCCTTGCCTCAGGTGACCTATCTAGAAAGAAGTTGTTACAGCCAATCTCAGATGGATTTCTGCCTGTGCTCTCTTCTAGGATTTTTATGTTTCAGGCCTGACATTTCAATCCTAAGTCCAATTTATTTTTGTGTATGGTTTAAGAAAGTGGTCCACTATCATTCTTTTGCATGTTGCTGTTCAGTTTTCCCAATGCCATTTATTAAAGATACTGTCTTTTTCCCATTGTATATTCTTTCCTGCTGTGTTGAAGATTAATTGACCATATGATCATGGGTTCATTTCTGGGTGTTCTATTTTGTTCCATTGATTTATGTGTCTTTTTGTACCAGTACCATACTATTTTGATTACTAAAGCTTTGTAGTATATCTTGAAATTTTGGTATTGTGGCTTTGTTCTTACTCAACATTGCTTTGCTCTTGGGGTTCTTTTGTGGTTCAATACAAATTTTAGGATTGTTTGTTGTAGTTCTGTGGAAAATGCTGTTGGTATTTTGATAGGGATTGCATTAAATCTGTAGATTGCTTTGGGTAGTTTTAACAGTATTGGTTCTTCCAACCTGTGAGCATAGAATAGCTTTCCATTTGTGTCATCTTCGATTTCTTTCATCAGTGTTTTATAGTTTTCAGTGTACGGGTCTTTCATCTCTTTGATTAAGTATATTCCTAGGTATTTTTTTTTATTTTTGGTGCAATTGTGAATAGGATTGTTTTCTTAATTTCTCTTTCAGCTACTTCATTATTAGTGTATAGAAATGCAGCAGATTTCTGTATGTTGATTTGTATCCTGCAATCTTAACTGAATTAATTCAGTTCTAGTACTTTTTTGGTGGAGTCTTTAGGGTTTTCTATATATAATGTCATCTACAGATAGTGAAAGTTTTAGTTCTTCCTTACCAACTTGGATGCCTTTTATTCCTTTTTCTTGTCTGAGTGCTGTGGCCAGGACTTCCAGTACTATGTTGAATAAAAGGGTAAGAGTGGACATTCCTGTCGTGTTCCTGACCAATGGGAAAAGCTCTCAGTTTTTCCCCATTGAGTATGATGTTAGCTGTGGGTTTTTCATATATGGCTTTTATTATGTTGATGTGTTTCCTTTAAACCTACTTTGTTGAGGGTTTTTATCATGAATGGATGTTGTACTTTGTCAGATGCTTTTTATGCATCTTTTGAAATGATCGTAAGGTTTTTATCCTTTCTCTTATTGATGCAGTGTAGCATGTTGATTCACTTGTGCATATTGAACCATCTTTGCATCCTGGGAATACATCCCACTTGATCGCGGTGAATGATTTTTTAAGTATATTGTTAGATTCAGATTGTTAATGTTTTGTTGAGGATTTTTGTATCTATGTTCATCAGAGATGATGGCTGTAGTTCTCTTTGTGTGTGTGGGGGATCTTTATCTGGTTATGGTATCAGGGTAATGCTGGCCTCATAGAATGAATTTGGAAGTTTTCCTTCCTCTTCTATTTTTTGGAAAAGTTTGAGAAGAATAGGTATTAACTCTGCTTTAAGTGTTTCATAGAATTCACCTGTGAGGCCGATTGGTCCTGGACTTTTGTTTATTGGGAGTTTTTTGATTACTGATTCAATTTTGTTTCTGCTTATGGGTCTGTTCAAATGTTCTCTTTCTTCCTGATTCAGTTTTGGTAGTTTATATGATTCTAGGAATGTATCCATTTCTTCTAGGTTGTCCAGTTTGTTGGCATATAGTTTTTCATGATATCCTTTTATAAATGTTTGTATTTCTGTGGTGTTGGTGGTTACTGCTCTTTCATTAGTGTTTTTGTTTATTTGGGTCCTCTTTCCCCCCCTTTTTTTTTCCCATGAGCCTGGCTAGAGGTTTATCAATTTTGTTAATTTTTTCAAAGAACCAGCTCCTGGTTTCATCTGTTCTATTTTTTTTAATTTCTGTATCACTTACTTGTGCTCTCATCTTAATTATTTCCTTCCTTCTGCGGGTTTGGAGTTTTCCTTGTTATTTTTCTAGCTCGTTTTAGGTGTAAGGTTAGGTTGCTTGAGGTTTACCTTCTTGAGGTAGGCCTGTATTGCAGTAAACTTCCCTCTTAAAAACATTTGCTGAATCCCAAAGATTTTGGACTGTTGTGTTTTCATTTTCATTTGTTTCCATGTATTTTTTAATTTCCTCTTTGATTTCTTGGTTGACCCATTCATTGTGTAGTAGCGTGTTATTTAATCTCCATGTATTTGTGGTCTTTCCAGATTTTTTTCTTATAATTTCTAATTTCATAGTGTTGTGGTCAGAAAAGATGCATGGTATGACTTTGATCTTTTTGAATTTGTGGAGACCTGTTTTGTGGCCTAACATGTAATCTATTCTGGAGAATGTTCTACATGCACTTGAAAAGAATGTGTATTCTGTTTTAGGGTGGAATGTTCTGAATGTATCTGTTAAGTCCATCTGGTCCATGTGTCATTCAAAGCCATTGTTTCTTTGTTGATTTCCTGTTTAGATGATCTGTCCAATGATGTAAATGGGGTGTTAAAATCCCCTGTTATTATTGTATTATTGATTAGTTCCTTTATATTTGTTATTAACTGTTTTATATATTTGGGTGCTCTGTGTTGAGTTCGTAAGTATTTGTAATTGTTGTATCTTCCTGTTGGATTGATCCCTTTATGATTATATAGTGTCCTTCTTTGTCTCTTGTTGCAGTTTTTGTTTTAAAGTTTAATTTCATCCAATGTAAATATTGCTAAGCCAGCTTTCTTTTCACTTCTGTTTGCATGAGAAATGTTTTCCATCCCTTCCCTTTCAGTCTGCAGGTGTCTTTAGGTCTGAGGTGAGTCTCTTGTAGGCAGCATATGGATAGGTCTTGTGTTTTGTTTTTTTTATCAGTCACCCTGTGTGTTTTGATTGGAGCATTTAGTCCATTTACATTCAAAGTAGTTATTGATACATATGTACTTATTGCCATTTTGTTACTTGTGTTAGGGTTATTTTTCTGGTTTTTCTCTCTCTTCCTTGCTCTCTTTTGCCATAAATTTTTTAGTGCCATACTTAAATTCTTTTCTGTGTTTTTTCTTTTTTTTTCTTCATATCTGTTACTGGGTTTTGATATGTGGTTACCATTAGGTTTGTATATAACCTCTTCTGCACATAGCAGTCTCTATTTAGTTGATGGTTGCTTAAATTTGACCCCGTTCTTTACACCCCGCTGCCCATGTTTTAGGTTATAGTGTCATACTTTACATCCTTTTATGTTGAGAGACCCTTGATTGATTTTTACAGATATACTTATTTTTACTGCTTTTCTGTGTCCTCCTTTTTTTACTCTTACTAATGGTCTTCCCTTTCAACTTAGAGTCCCCATTAACATTTCTTGTAGGGCTTTTTTACTGGTCATAAACTTATTTAACTTTTGTTTGTCTGAGAAGCTCTTCATCTCACCTTCTATTCTGAATGACAGCTTTCTGGATACAGTGTTCTTGGCTGCAGATTTTTCCCATTTAGCACTTTGATACGACATGCCACTCCTTCAGGCCTGCAGTGTTTCTGTTGAAAAACCCACTAATAGCCTCCTTGGGTTTCCCTTTTACATAACTTTCTTCTTTTTCTGCTTTTATAATTCTCTTTATCACTGATTTTTGCCATTTTAATTACTATGTGTCTTGATGTAGACCTCACTGGGTTGATTTTTTGTGGGGTGTTGGACTCTCTTTGCCTCCTGTATCTGGATGTCTGTTAACTTGCCCGGATTAGGGGAGTTTTCAGTTGTTATTTCTTCACATAAATTTTCTACCCTCTTTTCTCTGGAATCCATATAATGCAAATGTTATTATGCAAGTCTTGTAATTTTGCATAATTTTTTTTCTGTCACCTGCTCAGCTTGATTAATTTCCATTGTTCTGTCGTCCAGGTTGCTGATTCGTTCTGCTTCCTGCAGTCTGCAATTTGTTCTGTCTGGTGTATCTTTAATTTCAGTTACTGTGTTCTTCATCTCTCATTGGTTCTGTTTTATCTCTTTATGGGTCTTCTGCTCTTTTCTCGAGTCCAGTGAGTATCTTTATGATCATCACTTTAAATTCTCTATCAGGCATATGACGTATCTCTGTTGTGCTTAGGTCTCTTGCTCTGGTTTTGTCCTGTGTTTCCATTTCGACCTTACTCCTCTGTCCCCTCATTTGTCTGGCTCTCAGCGTCTGTTTCTGTGCATCAGGAAAGTCAGCCGTTTCCCCTGCTCTTGAGTGTAGTGGGCAGTGTGCAGTTTTCACAAGGTGGCGCTGGTCCTCTGCCAGAGGAGAAGCACTGCCACCGGGGAGACTGGAGTCTGGTGGGGCGATCTGCAAAGTGCACGTGCTTAGGGCATGCCGTTCTAACAAGGGGTGTGTGTGTGTGTGTGTTCTCAGCTGGAGGTGACCGGCCGCCACCACCACCGGGACTGAGGTCCTGCAGAATGTGTGTTTTGGGAGAGACATGGTTTTGGCCAGGGGTGCCCTGGTCTCTGTGGGAGGGGACCCACAGCCCTGGGACTGAGGCAGGCCTGGCTGCAAGGGGGAGGCATGGAAGCAGGTGAAGTCATGAGTGCTGGTTGGTTCCCGCGGGTGGCCGCCCTTCTGCTGAGGTGCAGGGTTGGGAAGTGGTGCCTGCCAGCTCCTCTGTTGCTGGAGGAGTCTCCCATGACCTTGTCCCTCTGGGACACTGAGGTAGTAAACCACTCTCCTTGCTTTATGCCCCTGCCTTTTTCAAACTGCTGCTTCTGTGCTGTATCTCCACTGGCTGTTCACTGTGCTCTGCAGGGACTCAGTTTCCCAGCACCCTCCAGGTTCTCCGAGAACGGAGCCTGCTGATTTTTTTTTTTTTTTAAAGATTTTCTTTATTTATTCATGAGAGACAGAGGGAGTCTGAGGCAGAGGGAGAAGCAGACTCCCCACAGAGCAGGGAGCCCGATGTGGGACTCGATCCCAGGGATCATGACCTGAGCCGAAGGCAGTCTCTTAACCAACTGAACCACCCAGGCGCCCGAGCCTGCTGATTTTTAAAGTTGCAGGTTGAAATCCCACTGGTTGTAAGAACTCATGAAATTCAGCCCCTCTGGTCTTCAAAGCCAAATGTTAAGGGGATTCATGTTCTGTGTGGGCTCCCTGGTGTGACCCTTTGCTTCCCGCCCGCGGGTCCCTTCCTCCAGCAGACAGTCCCATGGTCTGTTTAGCTCCCTCAGCAACTCTGCCCTTCCCACCCTCTCCAGTGTGGTCTCTTCTCTACATTTAGTTGTGGAGTTTGTTCTGCTGGTGTTTGGGTTGTTTTCCGGATTATTTACCCTAATGGAACTTTTACCTAGTTGTATCCGTGGGATGAGGTGAGTTTAGTTTCCTACTCTGTGTACCTTCCATTTTCTACAAAAAGGCACCTCTGTTGATTTCTCATCTTTTAAACTAAGATAGACTAATATATTCTCTGAACGTTTCAGGTTCTTCACTTATGGCAATTTTCCATTAGAACAGCATCTGAAACAAATTCACGAAGAAGCCCTGAGTAAATTTGAGAAAATTGAGCCAAACACTGCAGTGCCGGCTCAGAAGCCTTGGGATAAGCCAGTAAGTGCCCCATCTGGAGAGTAGGCGGTGTTTTTACCTACTAAATACACTGACGTGAAGAGTCAGACGGTGTATCAGTAATAAGATTTTCAAATGTTGTGGCCTCTGACTTGAATGTAAGAGCTTCTTTACCCTAAGGCATGGTTACTTGTTTGAAAAAGAAAATTTAGCAAAGAGCATCTCTTGGACCCCTTTATACCTATATGGGTAACTTACTCTATTTAAACCCAGTCATTCGTACTCTGTACCTACTTAAAGCATCACGTCGTTTTACAGAGAGAATTCCATATAACATGTGGCCCGGACTCACTGGCTGCAGGTTCCTCTAAAACAACCGTTGGGGTCAGCTTCCTCTTACCAGAGTAAGTGTCCGTTGTGAAGTGGGACAAGCGCAGCTTAAACAGGTTGGAGGCGAACTCTCCACATTAAATGGCTCAATGGTGAGGATTTAGGAGTTGAGCAGCTGTTGGATGGCAGGGAAGATGCTAACAACATCTGGGGTGGTTTGGGGGTAATTGCCTTTAGTAGCTACCCAGAAAAAAAAGTAACTTCTTACCGCATTTTAAAGCTTATTTCTGGGGAGAAAACAGGCTCGGACATCAGTTGTTAACATTTCTGGGGGTGGGATGCCATTGAGCATGAGGAGAGCACAGTGAACACTGGCTTCAAAACAATGTACCACCCATGGAGCTCTGTCATCGTAGAGATGTGGTCGGCTGCGGGCACGTGGGCAGGCAGGTGTCCTCAGCTGTGCGGCGGCAGGCTTGGCTGCCCTTGGTGGCCGTGCTGCTCGACCGACTGCCCCATCTCCTCACTGTTCTTGTCTGTGTGTGGACAGCACACTTGTAATTGAGATGACACAGGTCAGAGTCCTTGGTGCGCTGTGATGGGATGACATTTGATATGCAGCCAAGTCAACTTGATGGTTCGGGACTCCAAAATAGTCTAGTTTATGAGAGCTTTACAAACTAAAAAACAGTTTACTTTCTTTTATCCATGTAACTTAAAAGTTAAAATGCAAGCATTTGTAGAACATCTGCTTCTTTGGAAATAAAAGTGTTGATTTAGTAGTGATTTTAATGATTTTGAAAATATTTATGAAGGCCAACAGTTTCCCTTTTTCTCTCCCCCTCTACCCCCCACCCTCCCCGTTTTTAAATGAAGCATCACTGATACGTTTGAAGCCTTCACATTAAACCTTCTGTCTTCACTCTTGATCAGTGGACCCAACTCCCCCTTCTACAAAGCCTTAATTGAATCTGGACTTGGCACAGATTTTTCTCCTGATGTTGGGTAAGTTTCATTATCTGATCAGATCAGTGGTGTTTGCATTTGGGGCCAGTTTTGACATTTGACAGTATCTGGACACGTTTTTGGTGCTCACAACCCCGGGGGGGGAGGGGGAGGTTATTGGCATCTGCTGGGAGGAATGAGGGATGGAGAATGTTCGATATCCCACAGTCATAGGATGGTTCCGCTGCTGCCCCAGCACAGAACTGTGCATGAGAACACTAGTCCAGTACGGCTGTTTTCTATCCCTTGGAGGGCACATTTGGGAAAAGAAAAAAGAAAGATAGCTTGACCAAGATCTCAGAATGGTGTACGGCTGCCCACTTTCAATGCCAGGTTGAAATATTTTTTCAAATCTTAAGATTTTGTAAAGCTCAGCCGTTTCATTTCTAGATTTAATTTTACCATAACTCTAAAGTTTAACTCCTCATAACTCCTCAGTTATATCTGAGGACTGCTTCAGTGGGCTTTTTCTTGGAAGACTTGGGAGGTTGGAGTGTCCATAGTTCTGTTCTCCAGAGTATTGGATCTCTTAAGTTGTCGGAATTCTGCCGTGTGACCCACTTGTGTATTGTAGATACAACGGCTACACACGGGAGGCCTACTTCAGTGTGGGCCTGCAGGGGATCGCGGAGCAGGACACCCATGCCGTTCGGGACATCATTGACAGGACAATCGAGGAAGTCATCGAGTGCGTGTGGCTTGCACTCTGCAGTCCCGACACCATCCTCACACTCTCCTCACACCGTCCTCACACGATCCTCACACTGTCCTCACAGTGTCCTCACACTGTCCTCACATTGTCCTCACAGTGTCTTCACACCGTCCTCACAGTGTCCTCACACTCTCCTCATAACCGTCCTCACAGTGTCCTTACACTGTCCTCACAGTGTCCTCACACTCTCCTCACACCCTCCTCACACCCTCCTCACACCCTCCTCACAACTTCCTCACACTGTCCTCACAGTGTCCTCACACTCTTCTCACACCGTCCTCACACCGTCTTCACACCATCCTCACACCTTCCTCACACCATCCTCACACCGTCCTCAGTGTCCTCACACTTTCCTCACACTGTCCTCACAGTGTCCACACACCGTCCTCAGTGTCCTCACACCGTCCTCAGTGTCCTCACACTCTCTTCACACTGTCCTCAGTGTCCACACACCATCCTCACAGTGTCCTCACACCGTCTTCACATTCCTCACACTCTCCTCACACCATCTTCACACCTTCTTCATATCTTCCTCACACCATCCTCACACCATCCTCACACCTTCCTCATACCGTCCTCACAGTGTCCTCACACCATCCTCACACCGTCCTCAGTGTCCTCACACTCTCCTCACACTGTCCTCACAGTGTCCACACACCATCCTCACACCATCCTCACAC